ATATGGTTAAGATTTTGATCTCTTTATATATATATTGATGTTATTAATTTAATTAACTAAATTATATCTTCGGTGCAGCCAAACTTAATGTTTTTCTTGTTTTGTAAAAGTTCGCAACTAGTGTCACACTATTTGCCATCGGAACTAGTTTGGGTCATTTAAACTAAAACATGACTGACTAGCAAAATGTTCATTTGTGCTCACTCAGCTACAAACGGCGCATAAAAATAAAACACCAGACTCATAAGTAATTATATACATATATGGTTATATATGCCCTCATATTTAAATGTACAGCACTCATGCCTTATTATAACCAGTAGCAAGCAGATAATTTTTAAAAAAACACATTTTTACAGTTTATTTACCGTCTTATCGCAGACGCAGAGCAAAAACGCAGCGCATGTACTCATATCGCCACCTACAAATCGCAGCATAAATTTAAATGCACTACTGACTTAACGGGATATTTAAAACCCACCAACAACAACAACATCAACTAGCTCAATTAAAAGCAAGAAAAAAATGTGGAAATTAAAATGAAATACGTGACTAAATGCAAAGTTTGCCCGAGTCGTTCTCACGTGCGCCGCACACACCATCGCATTACCACAGCCACGACAACAGTAACAACAACAACGGTAACTACTTTTTCTGCCAAAGAAAATGCGAATGTATTATTAAAGGCGCAACGAATTTCTTATCTTTGTCGCATTAAGTGTAAGCCTTTGTGTGAACTTGCAGCGTGCAACATGCAACGTACACACTCACACTTACCCTCAACTCACAAACAGCAAAACATTTATACTCCCCGGTCACGCCTACACCGCCGGTCCCTGTGGCAAGTGCAAAGCCAGCAACTTTGTGGTAAAAACTTCACCGCAACCCACACACACCAAAGGCCTACAAATGCGGCGGTGGCGGCGACAGATGCGTTCGGCGATTATTTGCTAAAGCGTTGCATTTTGAATCTACTTAAATTTTTTTTGCGCTTTTTTTGCTAAATTTTGCGCTATTTAATTGCTCGACGAGATAACAAAGCAGCATCGTTGCGGCAATTTGACAAATTAGTGGAATACGGCAACACTCACGCATAGCAGCCGGCTGCTATAATTGTAATAGTTAGGCTTACGGCAATGCAGTGTTGAACAGGCAACAATTGCAGATCTAAATTTGTGCGAATACAAAGTGTTTGGTTATGTACGGTGCGTATGAGTAACCTCTGGAATATGAGCCTAGGCATAACCTCAAACTGTGTAGCAATGAAAACGCTTCTATGAATCTTTGTAGGTATGCTCTCTTTTGTGTCAATTACTCATATTATTAATTAAATAAAACATTTGTGTAAATAAATAAATATAGTTATATAACTAGCAGTTGAATATACATATAACTTAACCTCACTTTAATCGCCTGGAAAAAAAGCTTTTAGTAAACTTAGACGAAAATATACTTTAAATTTCAAAGTTTTCTTCAATATTATTTTTAGTAAAATTCACCTAACAAATATTAATTTAGACATTCTCTACGCAAAAATAAGTAATTCTTTCATTTTGGAATCGTAACTGGCCAGCAATACTATCTGTTCGATGGATGAATGTCATGCTGTTTCAGACACATTTTATTGCCTTCAAATATATATTTTTGCGTACGTTTGCCACATTTTTATTATTTAAAAAATGTTTTTCAGTAAGGGAGACAAACCTAAATAAATATACAATATAAATATTGCACCCGTCCTTTCCCCACCAAGAAGCTGCTCATTTGTCTGTACGGCCAATATTAGACCACTTTAGCATATAGCTATCATATAAACTGAACGATCAAAATCAAGTTCTTGTAAAGAATATTTTGTATTTGTGCAGGCGATTATAGTTTAAGTACAATCAAAGTTAACGATTTTTCTTGCTTTGTGCTATTTTATATTAACTTCTTTGAATTTTACCTAATCCGTTTAAATTTATTTATATTTCCTTTCCTTTGAATATGATATTTACACTCACATATCACCTAATAGTCGCTTTTTATAAATCGAATATATTAATTAACTTTATCAACACATATGTATGTAGTTAAAACTCAGAAAGACATCAGGAGAATATGTTCATTCTAAGCCATCAACCAGCCACTAGCACAATTTATTGCCAAAATATTGAACATGCAACATATTGGCCAGGTGAAAAAAGAGCGCACACACGTACATGCGACCATGCGACTAATTGCCGACACATACCATATGTATGTATTTATGTGTGTGGCACGAAATTGTTTTATTTTTTGTCAAAGAATTTTATTTATATTTTTAGTTTATTTTATTTATAATTATACTCTTGCAACATGTTGCTACAGAGTATAATAGTTTTGTACACCTAACGGTTGCTGGTATCACCTAAAACTAATCGAGGTAGGTATAGAGTTATATATGTATACATTAATGAACATGATAATATGACCGGTTGACTGTCTGTCTGTTCGTGCAAGCTGTAAGTTGAGTTTAAGGGATTAAGATATCTTGATCAAACTTGTTATACATGTTCCTTGGCACCAAAGGTTGTTGACATGGCTAGAGGTAAATAAATATTTTGAGCTTGGATAATTGTAAGCAAAAGGGTCATTGACCTCGACAAAATGTATACAAAAGGACCTCATAATGTAAACAAGGGCGTCAGTAATCCCATTACATGTCAACAAAAGGGTCATTGACACCAGGTTGTGGACTTGGCTACTTGTAAACAAAAGTGTCATTGAACCCATAAAATGTAAACCAAAGAGTCATTGACCCAGAATGTAAACAAAGGTTGTAGATTTGGCAAAAGGTAAGCCAAAGAGTCATTGTAAACAAAGTTGCACACGTAATTTTTTTCCAATCATATAACAATAAGATATACATAGCTGCCATACAAAGTTATCGGTCAAAAGCAAGTCCATATTTGCACTTTTTTATTTGACCAGATATTCTCACGAAATTTGACATGGATTAATGTCCAAAGCAACTCTACAATCTACGAATATATTCTGTTAATCGGACCACTATAGCATATAGTTACCAAACAAACTGGTCGATCATCGACGATAAATATCGTTTTATACTCTTTTATGCTATATTCAATGCCTCTGTATAGGATATTGGAGCTTTGGTGCAGCTCAAGTTAACGTTTTTTCTAGTTTAATATAAAGTTTTGTTACACCTGAAGGGGTTTCCCCTGCTGCAAGTTGCAAGAGTATAAAATATTCGGTTACACCTGAACTTAGCCCTTACCTAAGTACTTGTTTTTTTTTTATTTATTATACTATATTCCATTTCCCCAAAAAACTTTTGCAGGACGTTGAACATTAGCCAAAAAGGATTTTTGTTAGTTCTAAATTTGATTTCTATTGCAATATATTCACCATTGTGGTTGCCGTTAGCGTCAATTGATTTTATCGCACAAATAAAATTAGTTTATTGAACACAGCAGGCGTACACACACACAAAACTTGCAAAGAGACATGGCAACATAGTCGCTAGGCGCTTGCCAAATAAAGATGTAAATTTCCACTTGACTGCGGCTAATCCCATAAATTTGCCGCACGCCACAGCAGCCAGCAGCTTCTAGCCAGCCAGTCAGTCAACCAGCAAGCCTGGCTATTGGCCACGCTGCGTTAAAATTCGCTGAAGCTTTTGCTCACTGTCGAATGGCGCGCACAGATTCAATAAGCACACACATTCAAAAATACATGCATAACGGTATGTTTTCGGTGAATGCCAATACGAAATCAATTTTTATTTTGCCAATATCTTTATTTGCGATTTTCAGCGCTTTTATGTCATTTTATTGTTTTATTTATTGCGAAATTGTGTCGTCACTGTTGTTGTAATGGTTTTATCAAACATAACGTTTTATGTGTTAATCCGCTGTTTTGTTTTGCTCTTAATTTTTTTTTCTTTAGTCGTTGTTGTTGTGTATTCGTGCTTTTACATGAAGCGACACTTAGTGTTGCGTATACGCCACAGCATACCTATATTTATTAACATTCGAATGCGCTCACTGTAAGCTTACGACGATGCTATTGTGCAATTTGTATGTATTAGTAAGCGATTGAAATATTTAAAAGCTTTATCTAACGGAATTGAGGTTGGGAACTTTCAGATTTGCAAAATACTTTACCGGCTTATATTCTCTCTAGGTTAAATTTGTAATTAAATTTTGCGGTAATTTTAATTTTTCAAGTGATATAATTTTCAATAGTCAACATTTTCATAGAAAAACTCAAAAATGCCTCTTTACAACAACACTCTACAGTATTACCCCCTTATATAATGTTTCATAGTAGATTATACAAGCAAATATATTTTATACTATACACTGTCCTATACAAAATAAGATTTACGTTAAATTGCATTGAGAATTTTCAGTAGCATGCCGACAACACTCCCAAAAACACAACCCCGAAATTGTTAAGTCCCAAAACTTAAATTTCGGGATCGGCATTTATAATGCAAAGATACATACAACAAAAATGCCGATAACATACCAAAAACCCGAAATTGTAAAATCCCGAAACTTAAAACTTAGAATTCCTATTTATTATGCAAAATTGCATAAAGTAAATATACCGAAAACACACTATAGTTCCGAAATTGTAAAATCCCGAGCTCACAAAATCCCTAAACATAAAATTTCGGGATAGCCATTTTTTAAGCAAAAATGCATAATATAAAAATTTCTGGTTTGATTTTTCATCAAACACTCGCACAACGCGCCAAATGCACACTGCATGAAATCTATTATTGATTCGCTTTTAGCAGGCAATTTAAACTTTTATTTCTATCAATTGCATCCACATGAAAATCTTTATGGCACAAGTAAATAAATAAGTAAACACACATTTGTGTACAGAATTGTCCATTTGGAAACAGCTGCAAACACCATAGAAATTTTCAAAAACACTTTGAACATTTATTCGAAAAAATAAAACACAGTTATTTTTATTATTTCTAAATGCAGCGCTATGCGAACTCAATTAACTCTATTGGAGAATATATTGAATAATAACAATATATGAGCATAATAAATAGATATCAGCTTTAAAGAGTTTTATTCGTAATTTTTGCCATATAATAAGGTTTTAATTTACTTTTAATAAAATTGGCAATAAACAGCTTATTATATATTATATATGATTTAATTATGTGTTAAATACTATTGTTCACAACCACATACAGTCTAATTGTAAACACTCACTAAGCTTTAGATTTATTCTTATGCTAATCATTAAAACTGCACGCAACAGAACCGAAAAGGACACCAAAAAGCAAGCGCAGCAAATTACTTTATCGTTTTAGGGATTGAAATAATTTTAATTTCCAAACTTAGAGAGAAAGACCCTTTCAGAAATGAGAAGAAAAAAACATTATACAAGTTCACATAAAAATTCTGTCACAAAATATTTCTTAGAAAGGCTTTCACAATTATATAAGTAAAGGGTGTTTTAAGAGGCATGGAACTTTTATGTAAAAAAAACACAGTAGAATTAATGAAAAATCCAACATTTAGAGCCAGCTTATATCGCTAATGTCGAGCTTAGTTTACAACTAGTCGAACGTAGCCTATTTTAACTGGACCATGTTTGCTTACAAGAAAAAATATCAAACACATATTCTTTCCTTGACCGCTGATTTGAAAGCTTTCCCTACAAGAAAATAAACATACCTTTTAAGATAATACCCATACCAGCACCAGCCTTCCCTTTCCATAAATTAGGCCACTAGTTTCTCATTTTATTTTTAATTTTTTATTAGAGTACAACCCAAACCTATTGTTAATGTAATGTCCTTGCACTTTTGGCGCTTTTGTACGGAATTTAAATTCTTTCACATCAGTCACTTGTATATAGAGGATGACAGTGCCGATATCATCATAGGGGTAGCCTTCAAGAAAATTAAAGTCAATCTTATAGAGTCCCAGTGTAGGAACAATCGGCAAGAACTTTTCATACACATATAGATTTTTGACAATCAGACGCTTCTGTTGATAAAATTAGCAATAGGTGGGGATAAATATTAATGAAGGAAAACAATAAATTTGAAGAAAAAATTTAAGAGTTAAAAAATTAAAATTAAATAAATAACATTTTTGAATATGAAAAAATTTGGCGAAATAACAGTAAAAGTAGTTATAAAACAAGAAAAAACGATAATCGATTCGCAATAATGCCATTCACAGGTGCGCTTTTTATAGCAACTTTATGTTTAACTAAATCAGAAAACGGAAACAGCCAACGGTTGAATTGAAAAAACGCGTGTTGCTCTCCCACCTATTAAATATATGTCGCGATTTTCAGTGAATTATAATATGGAAAAAATCGATGACTAAAAAAAAATCGTCCCGGACTTTGCCGAGAAAAATATGGTCACCTAAATCTAACCACATTGTTTGATATAGGTCGAATCAAGTCGAACTAAGGTTATTTAATAAGGAAAAAATATCTTTGACTTGATTTTAAACGGTCAATTTGTATGACAGCTATATGCTTCAGTCGTCTGACATCGGTAATGAACAGCTTTTTGTCAAGAAAAGATCGATATTTTTCGATATCTTAATATTCGAGGGTATAGTTTGCGTTTATGCCGACAAACGGAAATAGCTAAAACGACTTAGTTCGTCACGCTGATCATTTTGATATATATTTTATAGCGTCTCTGGCGTTTCCTTCTGGTTGTTATAAACCTCGTGGCCAATTGAATATACTCTGTTAGTATAAAAAATAATGTATACTAAACTCTTACTCACCGAAAATGGACAACTATGATTCACATTCGACACTTCCTTCAGTATGTTCATGACAATTGTCGTGTAGGCTGGAAAGTTACGCTTGTCCAAAATGCTACACAAATTGGCTGTGACATTCACGAGAAACGGCTTAAAACGATTGGCGCTGTTGCGTTGAAAAATTTGCAGATTTAGCTTTTCACGCAACGAAATATTATTAGTGACTATTATATATTAAGTGCGCACACTTACCGACACATTTCGCAGCCGATCCACGATGTCGCTATCCATATTCGTGTGAGAACGATGGCAATTGATCGCCTTGATGCCGCAGGTGGCGTTCCGTATATAACGGGCATTGGGAAAACACTCGATCTTCGTCGATTTATAAACGATCCAGCATTGCGAACTAGAAATGAAAAAAGCTTTCTCAATCAATGCGTGCAGCAAACAGTTATGTCAGAAATTTCAAGCAATCGTAATTATGCGTGTAATTGTTGCTCTAACTGTAGTTATTTGTGTAATGACTTTTTACTTGATTGTTATTCTTGTTATTGTTGGTATGTTTTTGTTTTTTATTCTAATCAGGTTTACGTTAATTGATTTAGATAATTATCTAATATTTTAGAATGTGTTTTGGATAAACTTTTTTCTCATAAATTTTAGATTGTTTTCAAACTTTTTAATTCAGCAAATTGGCTTTCAAGCATTGCTGCGTGAAAAATTACAAATCTAAAACTAATTGTACATATATTTACTACAATAAAGCAAATAAATTTAAACAATTGGCAACTTGACAAAAATCACAAAAGCATAATTATTGATATTATTGGAAAATATGCGAAAATGCAAAAGCAGAAATCTTTGACAACGATTCAAACTCGCGTATGTTAGTTTGACTTACCTTATTAATGCTTAATTGTCAATAAAAAAATGCTGAAGAAAAAGATTTAGTAGTTGTTGGGGTTGTTCTCCACAGGATCATCGAAAATTGGCGTAAACGCATGGAGATATGGTGGTGATCATTTGACCAACATTTTGTTCAAATCATAAATCTCATAAAATTATCTGCAGAACAAAAAAACAGAACCACATAGGGTGGTTCTCGATAGTAGACCCTATACTCTATATGTACAAAAATGTACTTACATATAAATGTATGTAAATATAGAGAGCTGTAATGTTATATGCGACATACGACAAATGGACGAAACATTTCGGAACGATAGATAAATAGTAACGTTTAATTATTTCAAATAATCATGTAAAAACTCAGTATATTGGAGAAAAAAATAATATCGTACAGCATTGTATAATAAATTGATCTAACACATATGTATATACTGAAGTTCAAGGACAAAGACACTTTTTTTTTTTGCAAAAAGTATGCCAATTTCATTATTTATTTGTAGAAAACTCAGATTTCAAATATGCAAAACCATATTATATGGATTAAAGTGATAACTGTGTGCTAATTCGTAAATTTCTTACGTAAAAAAAACTCAAATTGCGTACTAAAATACTTGTATGATTGTATTTAGCGCAAATTTACATTATATTTTGTATTTAAATATAAATTGGAGATTGAAAAACTCAATATGATATAATCGTGCAACCACAACATTTATATTATTAAATTGAACAAATATGTTTGTGTTTATAAATACGAATATATAAAAATCAATTATCTTCAGTTACACATACTAGTATAGTATAAAAAAGTAACTATATATTTCGCATACACTGAGGAACACTTGAATGAAGTGAACAATTAACACTCACCTATTTTAAGTTTATAATAAATAAAAGTTGTATAGTCGTAGATTCGTAGAAAAAACCTAATAAAAATGTATATGTTAGATATATTTTGGATTCTAATAAAAAATATTATTACTAGTTCACACAACAGGATTTTTGTTGCCACAATTCGTAGTTTGTAGGCGAGCGGTTGATGAGAAAAGAAGACGTACACAGAGTTGCTTGCGTACGGGTGACATGATTTCTGTGCTTGTTTATAACAGTTCACTGCGGTATAGTTCTGTATTCTTTTCCATTTTGAAATTATTTCCATGATGTCAAATTCTATTCACAAATGGATGTCCGGTATCGGTCTGTGGGTCCAACATCCTTTGGCTGAGGTTTGCCACCGTTGCTGGCATATTGTGAAGCTTTTGATTATCTCTGATTTTTTGGTTACTACACACGGCTCTGATAAATTGTATACTCGTAATAAGCCTCACTTGAATAAAATGTCTTACTAAAGCCGCTTTTAGGGTTGAGTGTAGAAAGTATGTGTAGTTCGTTTCCTTGCCTTTTTAACTAGCTTGTTGTTATAAAGCTTCACTACGCTTCTATGAGATGAATATGCAACTCGATACTCGGGATCACATTAGCGAAACTTACTCTCTCAACTCCAGTATATTGCCGAACAGTATATACTTGTATTATGCTATATAAGTATTGATATATGTACATGTGCGTGCTGCCACAAATGCATACTTTTTTCGGCTTTCAGTTACCGCGTAAATGACGGGTTTCGTTCGGTTGCCAAAACACCGCCAGCTGTCATGACTTGTGTGACACATCAGAATTAATTTATGTTATGATATTTTGACAGTTTCATATGAATTTGCTATATCAAAGTGACATTTGCTTGCTGACACACACACACACACACATATCTATTTTCAAAGTGCAAACCACTCTTCGCCTTTTTTACTCCGAATTTCAATTCACTCACAAATCCTTTCACACGTTTGCATAATATTTTTACTATTCATTCGCCATACTCCCCCCCCAACACACCAGACATGCCTCATGTGTTGTTGTTGCAGTATTGCCTGCCATTCAAATCACTTTGCACAATCATCGCATTTCACTCGTTTTTGGTTTCTCGCTTTACCGTTGCGTTGCGTTTTTATTTTCGGGCCACTTTTGATATTATTGCCAGTTTGTGTCATTTGAATGTGGGGGAAATGTGATAGTCGCTCAGCTGAGCAGCGTTGACTGTTGGTTATTTAATGTTCGTGCTGTGCTTCTGCAGCGTCATCGACACATGTGAGTGTTTTTGTGTGTATATATGTGTGTGATTTTGTAGATTCTTCACTTTTTTGCTTTGGCTTCATGCAATTTTACTTTATTTGACACATAATTTGCCTTGCCACCTTCTCAGATTTCATACACACTTACTCATTCATTATTTATATGTGTGTTGGTATGTATTAATGTTTGTAGTTGTATATGTTTATGCCTTTACTTTTGTTCACACGCTGTTGTCACGTGATTCCAGGTATGACAGTGTTGCATTTACGCTGTCATCTGCGTCGTTCTCAGAAATTTCATTTGGTATTCAAATCGCTTTTTTTTTATAAATTTTGGAGGAAGACGGGAGAACTGAATTTGTAGAACTAAAATTTTATAAAATACGAGTATGTATATATAGAAATAAATTCAATTTTCACCTCTACGGATTATGTTTTATTCAAGTGAATGTCAAAACAAGTGGAGAAGGGGGAAATGAATTTTATTAAATCCACTTAACACTGGAAATATTAACTTTCAAATTCATCTCGTTAACGAAAATTAGTAGATTCAAGGTGCTAGCGCAAGTGGAGGGTATTGTATAACTTTAATGTTTTGTTATTAATTGTTGTTAAACTATAATACGTACATATATCTGAGTTAATGAGTTTAATTATTTTTGTTAAGATATCTTACATATTGACAAATATAGGAAATATAATACCAATTTAAGTTATAGGAGTCTTTATAAAAGCTATAAAGAAACTAAAAAAGATCTAAAAAGTTTTGAAAATTTTGGCAACAAAGCACACTAAGCTGAGTGCAATATTCTCACCAAATATTTTGAGCTGTCTCTCGCATTACTTATTATACTTCATTAGTAAAGCAGTACTCGTTATATTAGATACAGGAGACCTAGCGGAAAGGTCTAGATTTAGGTGACCATATTTTTCCCGGCAAAATCCCGGACGGTTTTTTTTAGTCATCGATTTTTTCCATATTATAAGTCACTGAAAATCGCGACTTATAATAGGTGAGAGAGCAACACAATTTTACTCAATTCATTCTTTTTTTTAATTTCGGGGCGGCCGGGACTCGGAATCCGGACTGTCCAGGCCAAACCGGAACGAATAGTCAGCTAACTTTTGATCGATATTTTTTACACCGAACTTTATGTTATTTAATTTCATCAATATTTAAATTCAGCAAAAGCCGCAAAGCACAATGTTCCCCTTCAAACTGTGACAACATCTGATCAAATATGACTCCATATGCTTTCAGCTAACTTCCAAGTAACTGACGCGCGCAAAACGAATCGATATCGGATCGAATCACGGCTACAGAATCATTGACAATATTGCAGAAGTTTTTTGGAGTACTTAATCACAAACATAAGTATTTAAATAGCGCAAAGTATGCAATGAAGATCTGAAAGTCATCGAAAACTTGATTGATGCATCGTCTATCTTCCTCTTTTTATGACTATAACATCGAAAAAGTTAAAGAAACTGAACTTGAAATACGTCGTATTGGCATCAGAGAGGTAGGAGAAGATCTCAAAATCTCTTATCAATCGATTTAACGCATTTCAGTTAATGTTTTAGATATGAAGAGTCTTAATGCTATACCATAAAAACGACTTCGGGTCGAGGTCGCAAGAGAGAAACCTAACAACGTAGCTGAGCACCCTACATTCAGCAAAGGCATCACTACTAAAGACGTGACATAGTTTTATGAATACGACTTTGAGACTGTCCAAAAATTTAGCGAATAACACTTCAAAAATGAGTCGAAATCGGAAAAACCCAAATTCGCTGAAAGCACTGAAAAACATGAGGTTCAGACGAGGCTTTGTATAAAAATACGTGGAAATGTACTTTTTCACTTCTGTCCTGATCAAATTCGATCACTTATAAAACCGTACCGAAAATAATTTTAAATTTAAGCACCCTAAAACACATACTAGTTTATCTTTAATTTTATTAATTTCAAACCCAAAAATTGAAATGTATTTTCACTCAACTTCTCTTTTATCAAGTATTTAATATTCTTTTATTAAATTTTTAAGAAAATTTTGGGACACTAAACAAAAAATATTACTCATACGCCCCAGTAACCAATGATCTCTGATTGTCTTTCAATGTATTTTGAGCTATTTCGCTTTCACCAAATCAATTACACTTTCGCCGATTGCTACATAGAGCAGCACGATTAGTACTGAAAAAATATTCCTGAAAGCTGCAATTAATCCGACGCTTCCGTTGAAAGTA